CTTGAGAAGTTTATTTTCTTCTCCCCTTCACTTCCTCTACCAGTTCCTCTTTATCACCCAACCCCACCCCTGGTGTTTGGCGCGTTCTCCACCGTCCGCCAACTCTCACTTCCCTTCTCCCTTCCACCCCTTGGGATCTTCCAGGGCGGCTTTTGTCCGGGTTGTTCCCAGAAAATGGGGTTTGAGGCAGTTCTCAGGGTGCTGGTCTGGCTGGTTTTGGGGTCTAAAGGGGTGAAAACCCCGCTTGTGCTGCTTGTGGAGAGACCTGGACCTGTAAGTGTGGGGTTAGTGAAGGCTGTGAGGCCAAACCGCTCCTTCTGCACCGGCAAGTTTGGGGCTGGAGCTGCATCTCCATGAGAGCAATTCCCTTGGGAAGAGGGAAGAGCTGCTGCTCCCGCTGATTCTGTAGTGATTGTGGAACTCGAGCCGCTCCAGAATTTAGAGATTTTAGGTTTCTGCTTTATAAGATGAGTGAGACCACGCCTTGTGTCCTTGTGAGACCCCACCTGGGGCACTGCCTCCTGCTCTGGGATCCCAAAATCAGAAGGATGTGGAGTTGCTGGAGCAAGTCCAAAGGAGGCCATGGAGATGCTCCCAGGGCTGGAGCCCCTCTGCTCTGGAGCCAGGCTGGGAGAGCTGAGGGGGTTCAGCTGGAGAAGAGAAGGATCCAGGGAGACCTTGGAGCCCCTTCCAGAGTCTGAAGGGGCTCCAGGAGAGCTGGAGAGGGACTTGGGACAAGGTCTGAAGGGACAGGACACAAGGAGTGGCTTCCCAGTGCCAGAGGGCAGGGAGAGATGGGAGATTGGGAAGGGATTCCTGGCTGGGAGGGTGGGGAGGGTCTGGGCTGGGATTCCCAGAGAAGCTGTGACTGCCCCTGGATCCCTGGGAGTGTCCAAGGCCAGGTTGGAGCAACCTGGGATAGTGGGAGGTAGGGGTGGGATGAGATGATCTTTAAAGTCCCTTCCAACCCAAACCATTCCATGATTCAGTGTCACAAGTCACCACGTGGGCTCCCAGTCCTTCTTGGAATCCTGTGGGCAGGGACAGGAGCCCAGAGGTGTCCCTTGGACAAACCCTTTCCATGGCAGAGCCTCGTGTTTCCCTCGGCTGTGTCTGCAGGACCTGCAGCTCTCACCCAGCACTGCCCAAATCCATCTGGGATTAAACTGATCTTTCAGAAGCTGTGAATCCCAACAGTTTATGGAGCCGTGAAATTCCCTTCGGTCCATCCAGGGCGTCGCTCCAGGATTATTAAAGAAATTTTTTCCTTTTTTTTTTTCCCCCCCTCTTTGTCTCCCTCCCCTCTCCTTCCCCCCCGCCCAGATTGAGCTGATCCGAAGGGATTACGTGGCCAACGGGGGCTGGGAGACCTTCCTGTCCTACGAAGACCCCGAGCAGGACATTCTGGTCGGGCTCCTGCGCCTTCGGAAGTGCTCCGAGGAATCCTTCCGGCCGGAGCTGAAGGGGGGCGTCTCCATCGTCCGGGAATTGCACGTCTATGGGAGCGTGGTCCCCGTCAGCAGCCGGGATCCCTCCAAATTCCAGCACCAGGTACTCCAAACCCTCCCTGTTTTCCCTCCCCTCTCCTCATGTAACCTGATTTAATGTCTGATTTGCTCATTTGACACCCGTCATGCCTTTGGATTCCCTTCTCCCGGTTAATCCTTGTCCAGCAGCTGGATTTCACTCCTGGAATCTGAAAACTAATTCCAGGCGGAGGGAAAGTAAGATTTTTATTTGGTCCTTCCCCAGTTTTCTTTCCGAGGAACGTTTACTGAATGGATTCTTCCCACCAGAACAGAAGGAATCCAGTTTTCTGCTTGAAGTACCTGGAGAAGCTGCGGACTCCCCATCCCTGGAAGTGCCCCAGGAAAGGCTGGATGAGGCTTGGAGCAACCTGGGATGGTGGGAGGTGTCCCTGCCCATGGCACTGGATGAGCTTTAAGGTCCCTTCCAACCCAAACCGTTCCACGATTCCATGATTTAGTGACACTCACGGATCTCTTCGTTGGCTCAGGCAGCTTTTTTTCCTTCGGAGAACGTGTCGTGTATCCCTTAAAACACGGGAATAAAGGGACTGGGAAGCTGCTTCTCGTTCCTTGCAGTGACTTGCAGGAAAATATCACATTACCCTGCTGCCGCCTGGGACGTGTCGGGGCTTGTGGGGAGCGAAAACCTGAATTAAATTGAGGCTCTGAACCCTTTAAGACTGAGCTTTCCAAAACAATCCCGCTTGCCTGGAGCGCTCAGGGGGCCGATGTTTTAAATTAACTTCCTTGGAAAGGATTAATCTTTGCCTGGGGAGGTGCATTAAGACGTGGTTTTGGCCGGAGGAAACATCGAGGGGGGGGGGGGGGGGAGAGAAAAAAATCGGGGGAAAAGTGGGATATTTCCGCCGTGAAATCGTTAAAAGCCGTCCTCCTAAATATTTTGGGTGGGGGGGGGGGGGGGGGGGGGAAACAGGAAGGAAAATAAAGGGAATCGACCGAAAGCGGCCGAGCACGAACGTGGAGACGGCTGGAAGTCGGAATTCCACGGCGGAATTTCGTGTTCCTCGGGTCAGTCGGAGGGTTGTTCCTCGGCCAGGGAGCAGTTTCTGATTAGAAGGACTTTTTGGGATGAAGATTCCTGGGCATTCCTTAAAAAGGCCTCCGAGCGTTGAGCGGTTCTGTTTTTCGTGGTTTTTTTTGGTTTTTAATTAAAAAAAATTAAAATTAAAGAATTTAAAAAAAAAAATAAATTAAAATTTAAATCACGGCGGCTCCAGCGCCGCCCTGGAAACCAGATGAAGGAAGATCCCGCTGTAATTCCTGCATCCCGGTGTTTAGGAGGGAATGAATCTCCTCAATTATTCCCAGATATAAAGGACAACAGAGGGGTTAAACAGAGTGGAAAGGCTTTTCCCTGGTTTTGTTGAGGTGATTCCAGTGAGATTTCCTGGTGTAAATGCAGGCATGGAGCTGGTGCAGGGTGTTAACATGTTTTCCTGCTTTTCCTTTGGATTTGGCATCTCCTGTGGCACGAGCTGAGAGCGGGAGAGCGGCACGGAGTTGAGCTCAGCCTGGATCTGTGAGGGAACGTCGTGATAATTCATCCTGGAATGAGCAGGGAGACAGTTCCTGACTCCTGGAGGGGTTGGAAATCAAGATAACGAGGTGCTGAGGGAACTTGTGGATCATGGAATGGTTTGGGTTGGAAGGGACCTCAAAGCTCATCCCATTCCACCTCCTGCCATGGGCAGGGACACCTCCCGCTATCCCAGGTGGCTCCAGCCCGGCCTTGGACACTCCCAGGGATCCAGGGGCAGCCACAGCTTCTCTGGGAATTCCAGCCCAGTCCCTCCCCACCCTCCCAGCCAAGAATTCCTTCCCAATCTCCCATCTCTCCCTGCCCTCTGGCAGTGGGAAGCCATTCCCTGTGTCCTGTCCCTCCAGCCCTTGTTCCAAGTCCCTCTCCAGATCTCCTGGAGCCCCTTTAGGCTCTGGAAGGAGCTCCAGGGTTTCTCTGGATCCTTCTCTTCTCCAGCCTGGACACCCTCGGCTCTCCCAGCCTGGATCCAGAGCCTGACATTGGATCCAGCCTCTCCCACTCCCTCTCTGGGAAGGAGTTCAGGGAACAAGGGAGTTCACTTGGAATCTCAGTGACTCAGGGAAGAGCCTCCCATTTCCATCCCCAGATTCCATAAAAATCCCTCTGACTGGATTCTGAGTGTCCTTTACTGTAAAATCCCAGGATTGGAAGGGACCTCAAAGCTCATCCCATTCCACCTCCTGCCATGGGCAGGGACACCTCCCGCTATCCCAGGTGGCTCCAGCCCGGCCTTGGACACTCCCAGGGATCCAGGGGCAGCCACAGCTGCTCTGGGAATTCCAGACCAGCCCCTCCCCACCCTCCCAGCCAGGAATCCCTTCCCAATCTCCCCCCCAAATCTCCCCTTTCCCACTGGGATCCATTCCCTGGGGCCTGGCATTCCAGGCCCTGATCCCCAGTCCCTCTCCAGCTCTCCTGGAGCCCCTTCAGCCTCTGGAATGTGCTCCAAGCTCTCCCGGGATCCTTCCCTTCTCCAGCCTGGCCATTCCCAGCTCTCCCAGCCTGGAGCCAGAGCCTGCCATTGGATCCAGCCCCAGCCCAGCTCCTCCCTGGGAAGGAGTTCCGGGAACAAGGGGGTTCCCTGGGAATCTCGGCACTCAGGGCAGGGTCTCCCTTCCCCTTTCCTGCCTTTTCCATCCCCACATTCCAGAAAAATCCCTCTGACTGGATTCTGAGTGTCCTTTATCCTGGAATCTTGGAACAGTTTGGGTGGGAAGGGCCCTTAAATCCCATCCCATTCCATGTTCAGGGACACCTCCCGCTATCCCAGGCTGCTTCCACCCGCCTTTCCTTGACACGCCAGGGGAATCCGGGCACCACACGTCTCTGGGAATTCCAACCCAGCCCCATCCCCCACCCTCCCAGCCAGGAATCCATTCCCAACTCCCCATATCGCCAGGCCCTCTGGCAGTGGGAAGCCATTCCCTGTGTCCTGTCCCTGCATCCCTTATCCCCAGTCCCTCTCCAGCTCTCCTGGAGCCCCTTTAGCCTCTGGAAGGGGCTCCAAGACCCCAAACCAACCATTCCCATTCCAAAGCTGAACTTTGGGAATTTCCCCCTCATTTCTGCAGATCTGATCCCCAAACTTTGACCCATGGCCAAAAAAAATCCCCATCCTCCAACAAATCTCCCGGCTCTTCTTCCCAATCGCTCCCACGAGTTGGGGCTGGGAATGTCCTGAAGAGCATCCTGGGAATTCTGGGCTGGACTCCGCTGCCACATTCCCTGAGGTCGTTTTTTAGGAGAGCTAATTAAGCCACTTGGCTTAATTAAGAGGCGAAGTCTTCCTCGAGACTCACGGGACATTCCCGGGAGCCGGGACCAGGACACGGATACGGGCGGTGACGTCACGGCGGGAGGAGGCCACGCCCACACCCCCCATCTCTCCCCCCCATGCTCCAGGGGGGATTCCCAGCTGGAATCTCTTTACCTGTTATTCCCCATGGCTCCTTGCTGCCAGCCCTTCACGTCGGGGGACTGGTATCCGGGTGCCGGCGGCGCCGGCGGCAGCATCGGGCTCTGGGCCGGCGGGATCTGGGGGGACACCAGGGGGCTGCCGGGGCTCAGCGCCGGCGCGAAGGACTCGCTCTGCTGGGCCAGCCCTGCGGGGACAGCCAGGGGGGCTCAGGGGGGGAGCCCAATTCCCTACTCCCACAGCTCCCGCTTCCCAACGGAGCCCAGTCCCCCCCGCTTCCCAAAGGCCCCCCCGATAACCGGGAACGGCACACGCGGGTTTGTGCTCTGGGGGGTCCTGTCGTTACCTCAGAGCTCATCCCGTTCCGACCCCGGCACCTCCCGCTATCCCAGGGAATCCAACCCGGCCTGGGACACTGCCAGGGATCCAGGGGCAGCCACAGCTCCTCTGGGAATTCCAGCCCAGCCCCTCCCCACCCTCCCAGCCGGGAATCCCTTCCCAATCTCCCCCCCAAATCTCCCCTTTCCCACTGGGATCCATTCCCTGGGGCCTGGCATTCCAGGCCCTGAGCCCCAGGCCCTCTCCAGCTCTCCTGGAGCCCCTTCAGCCTCTGGAATGTGCTCCAAGCTCTCCCGGGATCCTTCCCTTCTCCAGCCTGGCCATTCCCAGCTCTCCCAGCCTGGAGCCAGAGCCTGCCATTGGATCCAGCCCCAGCCCAGCTCCTCCCTGGGAAGGAGTTCAGGGAACAAGGGGGTTCCCTGGGAATCTCGGCACTCAGGGCAGGGTCTCCCTTCCCCTTTCCTGCCTTTTCCATCCCCGCATTCCATAAAAATTCCCTCTGAATGGATCCTTTATCACAGAATCCTGGAATGGGTTGGGTGGGAAGGGGCCTTGAGGATCATCCCATTCCATGTTCAGGGACACCTCCCATTATCCCAGGTTGCTCCAAGGGAATCCAACTCGGCCTTGGACACTTCCAAGGATGGGAAACCTGTGCCAGGGCCTCACCTCCCCTCTCCCGGGGAAGAGGAGGAACGAACGGCCTCCAAGTTCAGTTCTCAAGGAAAAATTCGTGGAATTGTTTTCCCGAAGTCCCTTCGTGTTTTTTTGGAGACTCAACCCCCAAACTCCTTGGGCTGTTGGGATGTTGGGAGATCCAATCCCTTGGGTTTCTGGGAGTTGGGAGATCCAAACTCCCTGTCCCCGGTTCGGGATTGGAAGGAAAGGGGAAATACCCCGAAATGGTGGGAATGGGGAAGAGCGTCTGGAGACGTTCAAGATGAGGAGCTCCAGGAGCTCCAAGAGTGTCTCCCAAGGTGGGAAAACAGGATCTCAGTCACCTGGAAGTCACTGAGGGAATGAGGGACATTCCCAACCCCTTGGTCTGTTGGGAACTGGGAGATCCAACGTCCTTGGGATGCTGGGAGTTGGGATTTCCAAACCCCTTGGGTTTGTTGGGATGTTGGGAGATCCTAAACTCCTTGGGCTTGTTGGGATTTTGGGAGATCCCAACTCCTTGGGCTTGTTGGGATTTTGGGAGATCCCAACTCCTTGGGCTTGTTGGGATTTTGGGAGATCCCAACTCCTTGGGCTTGTTGGGATTTCCAAACTCCTTGGGCTTGTTGGGATTTTGGGAGATCCCAACTCCTTGGACTGTTGGGAGATCCCAACTCCTTGGGCTTGTTGGGATTTTGGCAGATCCCAACTGCTTGGGCTGTTGGGAGTCGAGAGATCCCAACTCCTTGGGATGTCGGGATCTCCCAACTCCTTGGCACGTGGAGACCCCGAGCCCCGCCCCCTGGCTCGGGATGAAGCCGGAACGACTCCGCATCCCTCGGGAACATCTCCCCCACTCCCTCCCCACCCCACCGTCATCCCAGCTCCACCCACCTGCTCCGGAATACTGAAAAACGTTCTGCTGCATCCCGGGCGCCACCATCCCGGCTCCGAACTGCGCTCCCACGGCGCTCCCGCGGCGCCCGGCCAGCGCCGCCGCCGCCTCGGCGCCGGAGAACGGTCCGGCGGCGCCGGCGGAGGGCGGGTTGCTGGCGCCGGCGCCGTAGCTGGGCACCGGGTACGGGAACTGCTGGGGGGGCGCCTGGGGCAACCGGGCGCCTCCGAGGGGCACCGGAATTCCGGAGGCGTTGCCGAAGCTCTGCTGGCGCAGGAGGAGGGCGCGCTGCTGCATCAGCTGCCGCTGCCGGTGCTGTTGGCTGTAGAGCTCCCGCTGCCGCTGCGCCAACATCTGAGCGTTCAGAGGAGGCTGAGGGATAACAAGGATATTCCTGGGTCGGCGCCGGAACGCCGGGAATCGCTCCCGGTCTCGTTACGCAGCTCGGGATTGGAGGGAGAGGGGGAAATACCCCGAAATGGTGGGAATGGGGAAGAGCGTCTGGAGAGGTTCAAGATGAGCTGGAGCATCACCCAAGGTGGGAAAATGGGATCTCGGTCACCTGGAAGTCACTGAGGGAAGGAGGGACATTCCCAAATTATCACTGGCACCGGATATCGCTCCCAGTTCCGTTACCCAGCTCGGGTTTGGAGGGAAAGGGGGAAATGCCCCCAAATGGTGGGAATTGGGAAGAGCGCCTGGAGATGTTTAAGATGAGGAGCTCCAGGAGCTGGAGAGTGTCCCAGGGTGGGAAAACAGGATCTCAGTCACTTAGGGAAAGAGGGCCATTCCCAAATTATCCCTGGCATTGGATATCGCTCCCAGTCCCTTTACAAGGCTTGGGATTGGAGGGAAAGGGGTAAATACCCCTAAGTGGTGGAATGGGGAAGAACATCTGGAGACGTTTAAGATGAGGAGCTCCAGGAGTTGGAGCGTGTCCCAAGGTGGGAAAAACGGATCTCAGTCACCTGGAAGTCACTGAGGGAAGGAGGGACATTCCCAAATTATCACCAGCACCGGATATCGCTCCCAGTCCCCTTTCCCAGCTCGGGATTGGAGGGAAAGGTGGAAATACCCCCAAATGGTGGGAATGGGGAAGAGCGTCTGGAGACGCTCCAGGAGCTCCAAGAGTGTCTCCCAAGGTGGGAAAACGGGATCTCAGTCACCTGGAAGTCACTGAGGGAAGGAGGGATATTCCCAGGTTACCACCGGCACCTGGAATCGCTCCCAGTTCCCTTTCCCAGCTCGGGATTGGACGGAAAGGTGGAAATACCCCTAAATGGTGGGAATTGGGAAGAGTGTCTGGAGATGTTCAAGATGAGGAGCTCCAGGAGCTCCAGGAGTTGGAGCGTGTCCCAAGGTGGGAAAAACGGATCTCAGTCACCTGGAAGTCACTGAGGGAAGGAGGGACATTCCCAAATTATCACCGGCACCCTCAGGGGTTGGGAAAGAGCTCAGAACCCCCATCCCGTGTTGGAGTTCCTCTTCCGTGCCTTGGGATTGGAAGGAAAGGTGGGAATACCACTAAAAGATGGGAATTGGGTTGGAGAGGTTCAGGATCAGGTTCTGCAGGAGCTCCAGGAGTTGGAGCGTCTCCCAAGCCGGGAAAATCCCCTGGAAGTCACGAGCCCCACCCTTTTCTCCGTGGGATCCCCCTTCTTCCCTCATGGGATGTTCCCACAGCCCCAGGATCCCGGACTTGGATTCCTTTTCTGCTGGAAAACGTCCCATCCCAGGAGCTTTTCCACGCCCACGGGATCCACGAATACGTTGGAATTCCTCACCTTCAGAAGCCACCAGCAGCTGGAATGGGAATGGGAACTGCTCCATCCCCTTCCCCATCACTAAATTCCCGTCATGGCATTTCCCAAAAAAGCCAAGACTTCTCCAAGAAGTGGAATAAAATCCCCGGAACTCGGCTGCGATTCCCGAATCTCCCCAGCAGGGGTTTTATCCCTATTTTTTTTTAGGAGCCACAGGAGGACCGGAGGCCTCAGGGGGGATTTGCGGGATCGTTAAGAAGATTCCTTGGATTCTGGTATTTAAAGGGCAGCATCTATTTCCTAAAGATTATCCCAAATTAAACTCCGGGACACGGCATTCCCTAAGGAATAACGGAGGATTTCCATCTTAAGCAGCTGGAGGAGCTGGAATAAGGATGAAGGAAAAAACCACCTCGGAATAACCAGGGAATTCCCTCCCGTTAAGGAGCGAGCCAGACTGGGATAATGGGATCAATCCCAAGTTTTTCCCACTGGGAAGATTATCCCACATTCCCTGTTGAAGCAATTCTATCTTGAGGAGCTGGAAAAAGGATGAAGGAAAAAACCATCTCCGAATAACCAGGGAATTCCTTCCTCTCAAGGAGCAAGCCAGGATGGGATAACAGGATTATTCCCTCGTTTTTCCCACTGGGAATATTATCCCACATTCCCTGTTAAAGGATCTGTCCCTTAAGCACCTGGAAGAGCTGGAATAAGGATGAAGGAAAAAACCACCTCGGAATAACCAGGGAATTCCCTGGCATTAAGAAGCGAGCCAAGGTGGGAATAATGGGAATAATCCCAGTTTTTCCCACTGAGAAGCCCATCCCACATTCCCTGTTGAAGGATTTCTATCTTGAGGAGCTGGAAAAAGGATGAAGGAAAAAACCACCTCCATAACCAGGGAATTCCCTCTGTTAAGGAACGAGCCGGGCTGGGAATAACGGGCTCAATCCCTAATTTTTCCCGGCGGGAAGCCCATCCCACATTCCCTCTCACCTGGGGCGTGATCTGCTGCTGCATTCCCGCCCGCATGTTGATCCCGACGGGAGCGCCGGCGGCGAACTGGTTGAGGATGGCCTGGCGGTTCTGATGGAGCAGCTGGAGACAAAGCCCCGAAATCCCAGAATTCCAGGATCAGCCGGGTCGGAAAAGAGCTCCGGGATCACGGAACCCAACCCTGGATCCCACCCCGCCGTGTTTCCCAGCCCAGGGCACTGATGCCACAGCACCCCAGGGAATATGGACCTGGAGCAGTTCCTGAGGGACTGATCCCATGGAAAAGGCACCTGGAGCAGTTCCTGAGGGATTCACCCCATGGAAAAGCTGTTCCTGAGGGATTCACCCCTTGGAAAAGGACCTGGAGCAGTTCCTGAGGGATTCACCCCATGGAATATCCACCTGGAGCAGTTCCTGAGGGACTGATCCCATGGAAAAGGCACCTGGAGCAGTTCCTGAGGGATTCACCCCTTGGAATATGGACCTGGAGCAGTTCCTGAGGGATTCACCCCATGGAATATGGACCTGGAGCAGTTCCTGAGGGATTCATCCCAGGGAATATCCACCTGGAGCAGTTCCTGAGGGATTCACCCCATGGAATATGCTCCTGGAGCAGTTCCTGAGGGATTCACCCCAGGGAATATGCTCCTGGAGCAGTTCCTGAGGGATTCACCCCATGGAAAATGGACCTGGAGCAGTTCCTGAGGGATTCACCCCATGGAATATCCACCTGGAGCAGTTCCTGAGGGATTCACCCCTTGGAATATGCACCTGGAGCAGTTCCTGAGGGATTCACCCCTTGGAATATGCACCTGGAGCAGTTCCTGAGGGATTCACCCCATGGAATATGCACGTGGAGCAGTTCCTGAGGGATTCACCCCATGGAAAAGGACCTGGAGCAGTTCCTGAGGGATTCACCCCATGGAATATCCACCTGGGGCAGTTCCTGAGGGATTCACCCCATGGAATATGCACGTGGAGCAGTTCCTGAGGGATTCACCCCATGGAATACGGACCTGGAGCACTTCCTGAGGGATTCCCAACTCCCGTCTCCCTTCCAGCCCCTCTGTCCCAGCCCGGAGCCGCCGGGAGTTGTTGTTCCCTTGTGGATCCCCATCCCATTGGGACCATCCCACGGATCCAGCCCCTCCCGGCTCCCTCTGCCATCCCACCGCTCCCATTCCCATTCCCGTGGAATTGGGGAAGGACTTACCTGCTGCTGGCCCTGGAGGCGCTGCTGGAGCTGCAGCCGGAGCTGGTTGGGTGCCGGGGGCGGGCGGCTCAGGCTCTGCCGGGGCGGCACCGCCAGGGAATTCGGGAAGGCTCCGCGCGGCGGCGGCGGCGGCACCGGCACGGCTCCGAAGGACGGCTTGGGCCGCGCCATCCCGGGAAAGGCTCCGGCGGGAGAGGCGGCGGAGGAGGAGGAGGAGGAGGAGTAAGGCTGGGGGTACATTCCGGGTTTCTGCTCCAGCAGGAGCGGAGCGGTGCCCGCCGGGGGCTGGAAACGTTCCGACAGCGCTTCCAGGCCGCCGCCCTGCGCCGGGAAAGAGCCGCCTTGGAGCCGCCGGGAATTGCCCCCCGGGAAGGGTTCCCGCGGTCCCGCTCCCGCCTGGCTTCCCGTTACCAGATGTTGGGAATCCTCCAGGAATAGTTCCCGCATTCCCACTCCCACCTGGCTTCCCCCTACCAGACAGCGGGAATCCTCCTCTGGGAATCCTCCTCCAGGAATCCCAGGAGTGGTTCCCGCATTCCCACTCCCATCTGGCTTCCTGTTACCAGATGTTGGGAATTCTACAGGAAACCCAGGGATGGTTCCTGCATTCCCACTCCCACCCAGATTCCTGTTACCAGATGTTGGGAATCCTCCAGGAATAGTTCCCACATTCCCGCTCCCACCCGGATTCCTGTTACCAGATGTTGGGAATCCTCCAGGAATCCCAGGAGTGGTTCCCGCATTCCCACTCCCACCCAGATTCCCGTTACCAGATGTTGGGAATTCTACAGGAATCCCAGGAGTGGTTCCTGCATTCCCATTCCCATCTGGTTTCCTGTTTCCAGATTTTGGGAATTCTACAGGAATCCCAGGGATGGTTCCTGCATTCCCACTCCCACCTGGCTTCCCGTTACCAGATGTTGGGAATCCTCCAGGATTCGTTCCCGCATTCCCACTCCCACCTGGCTTCCCCCTACCAGACACTGGGAATCCTCCTCTGGGAATCCTCCTCCAGAAATCCCAGGAGTGGTTCCTGCATTCCCACTCCCACCCGGATTCCCGTTACCAGATGTTGGGAATCGTCCAGAATCCCAGGATGGTCCTGCATTCCACTCCACCCAGAATTCCTGTTACACCAGAGTTGGGATCCTCCAGGAAAGTTTCCCACATTCACCCGCTCCCCCCGGATTTTCCTGTTACAAGATGGTGGGAATCCTCCAGAATCCAGGAGTGGTTCCCCCTCCCCGCAGTCCCTCCCACCCAGATTCCCCGTTACAAGAATGTGGGGATTCGACACAGGAATCCCAGGTGTGGTTCCTGCATTCCCATTCCCATCTGGTTTCCTGTTTCCAGATTTTGGGAATTCTACAGGAATCCCAGGGATGGTTCCTGCATTCCCACTCCCACCTGGCTTCCCGTTACCAGGCGTTGGGAATCCTCCAGGATTCGTTCCCGCATTCCCACTCCCACCTGGCTTCCCCCTACCAGACAGCGGGAATCCTCCTCTGGGAATCCTCCTCCAGGAATCCCAAGAGTGGTTCCCGCATTCCCATTCCCATCTGGCTTCCTGTTACTAGATTTTGGGAATTTTACAGGAAACCCAGGGATGGTTCCTGCAATCCCACTCCCACCTGGCTTCCCGCTACCCGATGTTGGGAATCCTCCAGGAATAGTTCCCGCATTCCCACTCCCACCTGGCTTCCCCCTACCAGATGTTGGGAATTCTCCAGGATTCGATCCTGCATTCCCATTCCCACCTGGATTCCAGTTACCAGATGTTGGGAATTCTACAGGAATCCCAGGGATGGTTCCCGCATTCCCACTCCCACCCAGATTCCTGTTACCAGATATTGGGAATCCTCCAGGAATCCCAGGATGGTTCCTGCATTTCCACTCCCACCTGCTTTCCTGTTACCAGATGTTGGGAATCCTCCAGGAGTAGTTCCCACATTCCCACTCCCACCCGGATTCCTGTTACCAGATATTGGGAATCCTCCAGGAATCCCAGGAGTGGTTCCCGCATTCCCACTCCCACCTGCTTTCCTGTTACCAGATTTTGGAATTCTACAGGAATCCCAGGGATGGTTCCTGCATTCCCACTCCCGCCTGGCTTCCCGTTACCAGATGTTGGGAATCCTCAGGAATAGTTCCCACATTCCCACTCCCACCTGCTTTCCTGTTACCAGATTTTGGGAATTCTACAGGAATCTCAGGAGTGTTTCCATCATTCCCATTCCCACCTGGCTTCCCCCTACCAGATGTTGGGAATCCTCCAGGAATAGTTCCCGCATTCCCACTCCCACCTGCTTTCCTGTTACCAGATGTTGGGAATCCTCCAGGAATCCCAGGAGTGGTTCCTGCATTCCCACTCCCACCCGGATTCCCGTTACCAGATGTTGGGAATGGTCCAGGAACAGTTCCCGCATTCCCACTCCCACCTGGATTCCCGCTACTGGATGTTGGGAATCCTCCAAGAATAGTTCCCGCATTCCCACTCCCACCTGCTTTCCTGTTACCAGATGTTGGGAATCCTCCAGGAATCCCAGGAGTGGTTCCTGCATTCCCACTCCCACCCGGATTCCCGTTACCAGATGTTGGGAATGGTCCAGGAACAGTTCCCGCATTCCCACTCCCACCTGGATTCCCGCTACTGGATGTTGGGAATCCTCCAAGAATAGTTCCCGCATTCCCACTCCCACCTGCTTTCCTGTTACCAGATGTTGGGAATCCTCCAGGAATCCCAGGAGTGGTTCCTGCATTCCCACTCCCACCCGGATTCCCGTTACCAGATGTTGGGAATGGTCCAGGAACAGTTCCCGCATTCCCACTCCCACCTGGATTCCCGCTACTGGATGTTGGGAATCCTCCAGGAGTAGTTCCCACATTCCCACTCCCACCTGGCTTCCCCCTACCAGATGTTGGGAATTCTACAGGAATCCCAGGAGTGGTTCCCGCATTCCCACTCCCATCTGGCTTCCTGTTACCAGATGTTGGGAATTCTACAGGAATCCCAGGGATGGTTCCTGCATTCCCACTCCCACCTGGCTTCCCGCTACCGGATGTTGGGAATCCTCCAGGAACAGTTCCCGCATTCCCACTCCCACCTGGATTCCCGCTACTGGATGTTGGGAATCCTCCAGGAATAGTTCCCGCATTCCCACTCCCACCCGGATTCCTGTGATCAGACATTGGGAATCCTCCTCTGGGAACTCTCCCAGGAGTGGTTCCCTCATTCCCACTCCCATCTGGCTTCCCGTTCCTAGACACTGGAAAACCTCCAGGAATCTCAGGAGTGTTTCCATCATTCCCATTCCCATCTGGCTTCCCATTCCCAGACATTGGGAATCCTCCTCCTCCAGGAATCCCAGCGGTGCCTCCTGCATTCCCACTCCCACCTGGCTTCCCATTCCCAGACATTGGGAATCCTCCAGGAATCCCAGGCATGGCTCCTGCATTCCCACTCTCACCTGGCTTCCCTTTACCAGACACTGGGAATCCTCCTCCAGGAATCCCAGGAGTAGTTCCTGCACTCCTATCTGGCTTCCCTTTTCGAGACATTGGGATTCCTCCTCCAGGAATCCCAGGAGTGGTTCCCATATTCCCACTCCCACCTGGCTTCCCATTACCATATGTTGGGAATCTTCCTCCAGGAATCCTCCTCCAGGAATCCCAGGAGTGGTTCCCATATTCCCACTCCCACCTGGCTTCCCATTCCCAGACATTGGGAATCTTCCTCCAGGAATCCTCCTCCAGGAATCCCAGGAGTGGTTCCCATATTCCCACTCCCATCTGGCTTCCCGTTACCAGACTTTGGGAATCCTCCTCCGGGAATTCCAGGAGTGGTTCCCTCATTCCCACTCCCACCTGGCTTCCCATTCCCAGACATTGGGAATCTTCCTCCAGGAATCCTCCTCCAGGAATCCCAGGAGTGGTTCCCATATTCCCACTCCCATCTGGCTTCCCGTTACCAGACATTGGGAATCCTCCTCCGGGAATCCTCCTCCGGGAATCCCAGGAGTGCTTCCCACATTCCCACTCCAATCTGCTTTCCCATTCCCAGACTTTGGGAATCCTCCTCCAGGAATCCCAGGTGTGGCTCCCTCATTCCCACTCCCTCTGGCTTCCCATTCCCACACCCTGTCCCTCTCCCTGCATCCCGAGTTTCCCGGTTTACCTGGACCAGTTTGTCAATTCCCAGGGCTCGATCCAGCTCCGCCAGCTCCGTCTCGTCCTTCCCGCTCAGGAAGGACACGAGTTGCTCCAGCAGCGCCTTCTCGTCATTCCGGCCCTCCGGAGTCGTGGGAGGGCACAGGAGCTCATCCAGCTGGGAGCTGATGCACTGCCTGTCCAGGGAAAATATCCAAGAGGGAAGGAATTAAACCTCGGGAAAAGCTGGGAAAGCTTTGCTGCCGATCCCACGGGATGCGGCCTCGTCCTGCCCATCCCAGGGCTGGAAAACCCGCTTGGGAGGAGGGAACAAATCCCAGACACGAATCCCAGAAAACAGGAATTTTGGGGGATGGAATCTCTGCTGCTTCCCAGGCTGGATTTTCGTCCGGGACAGCAGGAGGAGGCGGAGCGGGAAATCGGGAAAACTTGGATGCAGCCCTGGAAATCCTTTGGGAATAGGATGAACCCGGAGCGAGAAACATTCCGATGCCGTCACCGGTTGGAGGCAGCGGGATTTGCTCCCGGAGAGGGCTGGAGCCATTCCCAAGGATCCCACGTGTTCATCCTTCCGGCTCCAGATGAGGACCAGATGTCCAGCAGGGAGTCGGAGCCAAATCCAGGGAAAACGGACACACTCAGAGCCAGGAAGTGAAAATCCGGGATAATTTCCCTCTGGAAAAGACGAAGCTGCTCCCGTCGCCAAACCCGGTGGGAATTTCGGACTCTTTGGCTCATTATTCCCGACTTTTCCATGGATAGAAAAGTTGTTCCTGGGATAACCCAACAGTCATTCCTGCTCCTTCTCTCCCAGCTCCGGGCCGGGCTTGGGATCAGTCTCCAGGAGGAGATCCCGGAGATCCCGGTCCGTCGTGCTCCCAGGCTTCACATTCCCAAGGTTTTCCATCCATCGGGATTTAAGGGGAAAACCTCGACCCGGAGGAAAAATCCCACAAAACCCCTCCCTGGTGTTCCCTTCTCCAAGAGCAGCTCTCCAGAGGCATCATCCCAAAAATCCTCCGGCATCTCCGGCGCTCCGGGAACGGGATGGGGTCCTGGCGGGAATGTTGGGCCTTGTGGGATCAGAGGGACACGACCCGGAGCGCTCCGGGCTCGGAATGGGAGAGCCGGGATGTGTTGGGAGGATTTGGGGAACGGGGATTTGGGATTTCCAAAGGAAGGATTTCCCGGGATTTCCTCAAGCCAGGATCTCATCCCACATCCCGCCGGGACTTCTTTCCGACCCCCAAAGGAAAATTGTGATCCTGGCAGGACCAGAATTCCCATTCCTGCAGGAACCACATTCCAAAGGGTCTGCCAGCTTGTTCCGACTGGGAATGTCCCGGGATCAGCGTGTGCTTCCCGCTGGAGGCCTTGAGGACCAAATTCCAGAGGCTTTCCCATGGATAGAAAAGTTGTTTCCAAAGAGCTCGCCGGGATAACCCAACAGTCATTCCCGCTCCTCCTCTCCCAGCTCCGGGCCGGGCTTGGGATCAGTCTCCAGGAGGAGATCCCGGAGATCCCGGCCCGTCGTGCTCCCAGGCTTCACATTCCCAAGGTTTTCCATCCATCGGGATTTAAGCGGAAAACTCTGACCTGGAAGAAAAATTCCGGCTCCCAGCGGAGATCCCACAAAACCCCTCCCTGGTGTTCCCTTCTCCAAGAGCAGCTCTCCAGAGGCATCATCCCAAAAATCCTCCGGCATCTCTGGGAACGGGATGGGGTCCCGGCTGGAATGTTGGACCTTGTGGGATCAGAGGGACACGACCCGGAGCGCTCCGGGCTCGGAATGGGAGAGCCAGGATGTGTTGGGAGGATTTGGGGAATGGGGATTTGGGATTTCCAAAGGAAGGATCTCCCGGGATTTCCTCAAGCCAGGATCTCATCCCACATCCCGCCGGGACTTCTTTCCGATCCCGAAAGGAAAAATTCCTGTTCCTGCAGGAACCGCGTTCCGAAGGCTCTGCCAGCTTGTTCCGACTGGGATCATGGGAATGTCCCGGGATGACGGAGGCGGCCGCCATTCCCGGAGGATGGAAGCAGAGCATGGAATTGGATCATTCCAGAGCTGCCTCTTCCCACCACATGTGCCTGGAATTCCTGATCCAGCAGGAATGGAGGCTTTGGGAAGCCGCCGCCGCTCCGACTTTTCCCACCTGGAATCCCGCCCGGATCCCGGGCCTGCGGTTCTCCTCCCAAATCCCGCTGGAAAAGCGGGAGCCGGGAGAAAATCCCTGGAAGCAAATCCGTCTCCTTCCAGCCAAAAACGTCTCCGAGGTCCCGGCTCGGAGCTTGGAATAAATGCCGGGAAAACAAGGATATTCCCACCCCAAAAAGCGGGATTTGAAAGGGGAATTCCCGGCTTAAAAACCACCGGATTGTTCTGGGCCAATGGATCTTATCCCGAAAAAATGGTAGCACCAGCAAGGCTTGGAAGGGAAGCTGCTTCCCGGCAGGAAGAGTTTGGGATGAGGGAGCGCTCCGGGATTTATCTCCCGGCTCTCCAGAGCAAGTTCCAAAGGTTTTCCATCCCAAAAGTTCAGCCTTTCCAGCAGAAATCCGGGATCCAGTTGGAGCAGAGGAGGAAGAAGAGCTTGGAAAACTTAATCCAAAGGAAAAGGAACTTTTTTGGCTCTGGAAAAACTTCCTGGACGTGTCCGTCCAAACCCTCTGGAATCCTGGAATGCTGAGGGAAATGCTCAACCCTCTGGAAATCCTGGAATGCCAAGGTCTCTCCACAACCCTCTGGAATCCTGGAATGCAAAGGTCTCTCCATAACCCTCTGGAAATCTTGGAATGTTGAAGTCTGTCCACAACCCTCTGGAATCCTGGAATGCCGAGGTCTCCATAATCCTCTGGAAATTCTGGAATGCTGAGGTCTCTCCATAACCCTCTGGAAATCTTGGAATGTTGAGGTCTCTCCATAACCCTCTGGAAATCTTGGAATGTTGAAGTCTGTCCACAACCCTCTGGAAATCCTGGAATGCCGAAGTCTCCATAATCCTCTGGAAATCCTGGAATGCCGAGGTCTCCATAATCCTCTGGAAATCCTGGAATGCTGAGGTCTCTCCACAACCCTCTGGAATCCTGGAATGCCAAGGTCTCCATAATCCTCTGGAAATCCTGGAATGCCGAGGTCTCCATAATCCTCTGGAAATCCAGGAATGCTGAGGTCTATCCATAACCCCCTGAAAATCTTGGAATGCTGAGGTCTCTCCATAACCCTCTGGAAATCCTGGAATGCCGAGGTCTCTCCACAACCCTCTGGAAATCCTGGAATGCCGAGGTCTCTCCACAACCCTCTGGAAATCCTGGAATGCCAAGGTCTCTCCATAACCCTCTGGAGATCCCAGAATGCTGAGGTCTGTCCTGGACCCTCTGGAAATCCTGGAATGCTGAAATCGGGATCGTCTCCCGAAGTTTTTTAATTAATGAAGGAAACTTGAACCTGGTTTTTTTTGGATCCGTAATTTTAGCGGGATCCGAGCCCGTCGGAAGAGCCGGAATTCCATGGAAACACAAAGCCATGGGAACACAATGGGAGGAATGTGGGAATGCTGGAATGTGGGAATGTTGGAATGTGGGAATGTTGGAAACCACTGACCGGCGGTCAGAGGACTTGGAGAATCCTTGGCTCTGCCACGGATAGACGGGAATATTCCGGGCTGGAATTCCAGGAAACGAAGGCGGGACGCTCCCAGAGCTGGGATATCCCGCCTGTTTTCCCGGGAAAAAAGGCTGGGAATGGGGTACTTACTCCTCGGGTTTGCTCAGCGCTCCGCGGGGCTCCGGCCAAGGAATCGGCTCCCCCATTCCCGACGGACCGAACTGCGGATCCGGGACGCCCAGCTCCAGCTCCGGCATTCCTGAGGGGGGAAAAAACGGGATGGAGAGAGGTCAATCCATGGAAAAGGCCGACAACATCCCAAAGCACCCCAAAGTATTCCGGTTACGCCGCTTTTCCAGGGAAATTTAGGGATGCCGGGGGTGAAATCCCAGGGGGAAATCGCCCGTTTCCATTAGGAATTCCAAGGGAAATTGTTCCTATCCAAGGTTTTGGAGAGGAACAAAGCGTATCCCAAATCCAGGAGCACTTCCCATCCCTGTTTCAGCACCGGATCCAAATTAAAGCTGGAGCAGATCCCGGAGAAATCCCAACCAGGGGGAAATCCCAGCAGGGAAATCACCAGGAATTCGCCCTTTTGGGCACATTTCCGTTAGGAATTCCAAGGAAAACTGAAGGAATTCCAAGGAATTTCGGCACTGGGAGAGGATCCGAGGCCATTAAATTAAAGCTGGAGCAGATCCCGGAGCCCAAATCCCGGGATACGGAGGCTGGAGATGTGATGAGAAACAGGGATGGGGATGGGAGATCCAACAACATCCCGGGAATCACCCGGAGAGGTGGGAGAGGGAAAAGGGAAGGGTTGGGAATTCTCATCCGCCACATCCCGAAATCCCAAATTCCCGAGGGAAAGGCTGAAGGCGGAAATCCCGTTTTTTTTAACCCAATGGATCCTTTTCCCAAGAAATTTGACTTCCAGGAAAACCTCTCTCCACAACCCTCTGGAAATCCTGGAATGCTGAGGTTTATCCATAACATTCTGGAAATCCTGGAATGCCGAGGGAAATCCTGGAATGCCAAGGTCTATCCATAACCCTCTGAAATCTTGGAATGCTGAGGTCTCTCCTCAACCCTCTGGAAATCCTGGAATGCTGAGGTCTCTCCTCAACCCTCTGGAAATCCTGGAATGCCGAATTCTATCCACAACCCTCTGGAAATCCTGGAATGCTGAGGTCTGTGCTCAACCCTCTGGAAATCCTGGAATGCCGAGGTCTCTCCATAACCCTCTGGAAATCCTGGAATGTCAAGGTCTATCCATATCAATCTGGAAATCCTGGAATGCTGAGGGAAATCCTGGAATGCCAAGGTCTCTCCATAACCCTCGGGAAATCCTGGAATGCTGAGGTCTGTGCTCAACCCTCTGGAAATCCTGGAATGCCGAGGTCTCTCCATAACCCTCTGGAAATCCTGGAATGTCGAGGTCTATCCATATCAATCTGGAAATCCTGGAATGCTGAGGGAAATCCTGGAATGCCAAGGTCTCTCCATAACCCTCGGGAAATCCTGGAATGCTGAGGTCTATCCAAAGCCCCTGTTGATCCTGGAATTCCGAGCTCTGTGGTATTCGTCCATCGGTGATTCCAGCCGGGAATGCGGCTCTTTTCCCACCCCAACATCCCATGGATAACAACCCCTCACAGTTCCTGGGAATCCGAACTACCCCCCCTTGGAAAAGGGGCTGGAAAATCCCTGGAGGAACCGGCACGGCCGGGAATGACCCGAGGGGAGGGAACGAGCCCAGTTTGGAAGCTCAGCCCTGGAATTTCCCAGGGAATTCCCTGGAAAGCTCCGTACCTGTGTCCGGAGGGAAGGGATTGGGAGCCGTCCCGGTGCCTCTTCCCGGCTGGGCCGGCCCGCGGCCGTGGGGGCTCCCGGTATTCCCGGGACACGGCCCCGGCCGGAGCTGGGCGGGATCCATGGGATCGCAGAACTCGAAGGGAGCCCGGCCCGCCGGAACGCCCTGCCCGCCACTGAGCGCTGGAAAACAGGGAAAACAGGGAAAAGGGAGTCAATGCCAAGGGAAAACAGCCATGGGAAGGGAAGGTTTGGGAAGGGAAGGTTTGGGAAGGGAAGGTTTGGGAAGTTTTGGGAAGGTTTGGGAAGGAAGGGAAGGTTTGGGAAGGTTTGGGAAGGTTTGGGAAGGTTTGGGAAGGGAAGGTTTGGGAAGGTTTGGGAAGGGAAGGAAATCCAGAGTGGGGGCCTTAAGGATGATCCCATTCCAAGCCCTGGCTGTTGGCAACTCCTCAGGGAATGGCTCAGGGAAGCACCAACACTCCACAGGGAATAAGCTCCTGATTATATCAGAGCATTGGAGATTGGGAAGGAATTCCTGGCTGGGAGGGTGGGGAGGGGCTGGGCTGGAATTCCCAGAGAAGCTGTGGCTGCCCCTGGATCCCTGGGAGTGTCCCAGGCCAGGTTGGATTCCCTTGGAGCCACCTGGGATAGCGGGAGGTGCCAGGGTTGGAACGGGATGAGCTTTTCCCTCCCCCTGCTCACCCTCCTCTCCCTCCCATCCCAAATCCATCCCCTTGGGATGGGCCACCTACGGGTGAGTCCCGTGGGAGCTCTGGCCGCGGTGCTGGGCTGGAGCGGCGCCGCCAACAGCTCCGGCTTCACCGGCACTCCGGACACTCCGGACACTCCGGACACTCCGGACACGCCGCCCTCGCTCCTCTCCGCGCCGCACATTCCCGGCAGCTGAGCCGCCTTTTCCAGCGAGGGCAGGAGCTGATCCAGCTGCTCCAGCTCGGCAGCAAACTATGGAATGAAGGGAAAAAGCAACAGGATGAGCGACGGCAGCAGGAGGGGTTTTGGAGCCCGCGGAGCTTCCTGAGGATTCCCGGAACACCTAGAGTGGAGAGGGAACCGGCGCTGCATCGTGGAGATGGGGGAGGAATTCCGGGCTGGGAGGGTGGGGAGGGGTTGGGATGGGATTCCCAGAGAAGCTGTGGCTGCCCCTGGATCCCTGGCAGTGTCCAAGGCCAGGCTGGACCCACCTGGGATAGCGGGAGGTGTCCCTGAACATGGAATGGGATGAGCCTTAAAATCCCTTCCCACCCAAACCAGTCCGGGATTCCGGGATAAAGGACACTCAGAATCCACTCAGAGGGGGTTTTCTGGAATGTGGGGATGGAAAAGGCAGGAAAGGGGAAGGGAGACCCTGCCCTGAGTGCCGAGATTCCCAGGGAACCCCCTTGTTCCTGGAACTCCTTCCCAGGGAGGAGTTGGGCTGGGGATGGATCCAATGGCAGGCTCTGGCTCCAGGCTGGGAGAGCTGAGAATGGCCAGGCTGGAGAAGGGAAGGATCCCGGGAGAGCTTGGAGCACATTCCAGAGGCTGAAGGGGCTCCAGGAGAGCTGGAGAGGGCCTGGGGCTCAGGGCCTGGAATGCCAGGCCCCAGGGAATGGATCCCAGTGGGAAAGGGGAGATTTGGGGGGGAGATTGGGAAGGGATTCCTGGCTGGGAGGGTGGGGAGGGGCTGGGCTGGAATTCCCAGAGAAGCTGTGGCTGCCCCTGGATCCCTGGCAGTGTCCCAGGCCAGGCTGGATTCCCTGGGATAGCGGGAGGAGTCAGGGTTGGAACAGGATGAGCTTTAAGTTCCCTTCCCACCCAAAGCATTCCAGGATTCCACGACTCCAGAAGGAGCAGGAGCTCCGTTCCCACACGGCTGCAGAGCCAAACGAGCTCTTCCCTCTGCTTCCAAAGGATTCAGCAGCTCTCTCCACGTTCCCATCTCCCCTAGCTTTGGAAAAGCAGGAATCTCTCCCTTCAGAGGGATATTTACATTGGCACTGGAGGAGGTGGGATCAGTGCTGGAAAAGATGGAATCACCACTGGAGAGGATGGAAGCAGTGTTGGAAAGGTGGGATCACCACTGGAGAAGGTGGAATCAGTGCAGGAAAAGGTGGAACCAGCACTGGAGAAGGTGAATCCAGCACTGGAGAAGGTGGAACCAGTGCTGGAGGAGGTGGAACCAGTGCTGGAAAAGGTGGAACCAGTGCTGGAAAAGGTGGGATCAGCACTGGAGAAGGTGGAACCAGCGCTGGAGAAGGTGGAACCAGCACTGGAAAAGGTGGAACCAGCATTGGAGAAGGTGGAACCAGTGCTGGAGGAGGTGGGATCAGCACTGGAGAAGGTGGAATCAGTGCAGGAAAAGGTGGGATCAGCACTGGAGAAGGTGGAACCAGCGCTGGAGAAGGTGGAACCAGCACTGGAAAAGGTGGAACCAGCACTGGAGAAGGTGGAACCAGTGCTGGAGGAGGTGGGATCAGCACTGGAGAAGGTGGAATCTGTGCTGGAAGAGGTGGAACCAGCACTGGAAAAGGTGGAATCAGCACTGGAGAAGGTGGGATCAGCACTGGAGGAGGTGGGATCAGCACTGGAGAGGGTGGGATTAGCACTGGAGAAGGTGGGATTAGCACTGGAGAAGGTGGGATCAGCACTGGAGAAGGTGGAATCAATGCTGGAAAAGGTGGACTGGAAAAGATGGAACCAGCACTGGAGAAGGTGGAAGAGGCACCGGAGAAGGTGGGATCAGCACTGAAGGAGGTGGAATCAGCACCGGAAGAGTTGGAACCGGCACTGGAGGAGGTGGAATCAGCACTGGAGGAGCTGGGACCAGTACTGGAAAAGGTGGAACCAGCACTGGAAGAAGTGTCACCATTGCTGGAAAAGATGGAACTACCACTGGAGAAGGTGGAATCAGCACTGGAGGAGCTGGAATCAGCACCGGAAGAGTTGGAATCACCACCAGAGGAGGCGACACCAGGAATCCACAGAACCCCCAGGACACCTCCCACACCCCCAGATCCCACGGAAACCCCCCCCAGAACCCCCAACCCTCCATCCCGCTCACCTGCCCCTGCGTCTCCATCTTGACCTCCTCGGCCGCCGCCGGAGCCTTGGGAACGGCGGCGGGCGCGGCGTGGCACGGATCCATCGCCGGCTCCGCCTTCTCCACCTTCACCTTCACGTCGTCCAGGCTGAGCGCCGGCGCCGCCCCCAGCTCCTTCTCGTCCTTGTCCAGGAGGTACCTCAGCAGCTGGTGGTCCTTCACGTCCTTCTTCTTCAGCGCCTCCGCCTCCGCCGCCGCCGTCGGAGCCGCCGCCGCCGGAGCCGTCGCCGGTGCCGGAGCGGCGCCGGGAGCGCTCTCCTTCTTCTCGTGCTCCATGGCCAGCGTGGTGAGGTCGGACGGGCTTCCCTCCTGGAGCAGCCGGTGCAGGATCTTGTGCCGCTCCGTCAGGGAGCTGTGGGAGGACGGGCAGGTGCCGGTGCCGCCGGTGCTGCCGGTGCCGCCGGTGCCGGCGGCGCTCCCGGTTCCCAGCGTCACCAAGGATTCCTTGCAGCTGGTGTCGGCGTCGGCGGCGTGCCGGAGCTGCTGCTCCGCCGTGCTGGCCAGGAGCTGCACCAGCTTGTGGCTGGTGGCCTGCGAGCACTTGGAGTCGCCGTCGGCGTGCAGCATTCCCGAATCCAGAGCCTTGCCCTCCCCGCCGGCGGCGCCGCCGCTGCCGGCGCCGCCGTCCACCTGGATCATCTCGCTGAGGATGGAGGCGATCTCCTTGCTGTCCTTGGCGTCGGATTTGCCGGCCAGGCGGCCGGGAGAGCTCTGAGAGCCGCTCAGCTGCCTCAGCACCGGCGGCGGCGGCGTGGAATACCCCACCGGCGTTCCCGGCCCTTCCGGCAGCCCCGGCACGGGAGCGCCGCCGGGGAACGGGCGAGCGTTCCCGGCGGCGCCGGCGGCATTCCCGCCGCCGGCCATGCCCACGGGCGAGTGCATGGAGGGCACGGCGGGGGAGAAGGGGTTGCCGGGCCCTCGGGAGCGCGGCACCAGGCCGGGGCTGAGGCGGTGGCGCGGGGACAGGAATTGCGGCGGCGGCGGCGGCGGCGGCGGCGGGGGGGGGATGCCGGGGCTGCCCATGGGCGAGCCGGCGAGGGGCAGGGCGTGGTTCCCACCCTGGCTCTGGCTTAAGGCGGCGGCGGCGGCTCCCAGCTGGCTCCCGGGAGGACATCCGTAGCCGGAGGGTTGGCCGGCGTTGCCGGTCACCATGGTGCCGTTGGAATTGGGGACGGAGGGAGGAGGAGGAGGAGGCAGCGCCATTCCCGGCCCCGGAGAGACGTTGGGGGTCAGGGCGGGGCCGGAGCGCGGCAGGGTCATGCCGGAGCCGGGGTTGTCCGGCGGGGAGAGCATCCCGTGATCCCTGCAAAGGGAGAGGAGAAGTTGCCTTTGGAAAACCTTCGGCGTCTCCGCTCGGAGGGCTCGGCGTTCCTTGGATCCGTTCTCCCCAAAAACGGGATTCCAGAGGCTCGCCGGATCCCCCCTTCTCCGGGCCTGACATTCCCAACATTCCCTTCCATCCCAGCACAGGGGGGAAGACCCACGGAACCCCAGATCCAGGGAACCCGCATCCACATCCTCACCCCCGCCCTGTCCCGTCGCTCTCCCTCCCTAAAATATTCTCCGGGAACGGGAAGCGCGTCGAGAAACCTCCCCCGGAGCGCCCTGGGCAAAACATGGATAACCAGGAGCCGGGAAGCTGCTCTGGGATCCCCCCTCCAAACCAGCTCCAGGCACCACCAGCGGATCCTCTTCCCAATGTAGGGAACGGGGAGAGTTGGATACAACTTCCCCACAGTGGGAAGAGGAGGGACAGACACCGATCCCTGTGTGGGATCCGAGGGAATGGCTGGAACCAGGGCAGGTTTGGGATGGATTTTGGGAAAAGGGGGCGGTTGGGCACCGGGACGGTCTCCCGAGGCTTCCAGAGCTCAGGGAGCGCTTGGACGTGGTGGGATTAGGATCAATGATCCCGGGACGGTCCCTCCCGACTGGGAAATCCTGGGATGGTGCCATTCCCTTGGCAAAACATGGATAACCAGGAGCCGGGAAGCTGCTCTGGGATCCCCCCTCCAAACCAGCTCCAGGCACCACCAGCGGATCCTCTTCCCAATGTAGGGAACGGGGAGAGTTGGATACAACTTCCCCACAGTGGGAAGAGGAGGGACAGACACCGATCCCTGTGTGGGATCCGAGGGAATGGCTGGAACCAGGGCAGGTTTGGGATGGCTTTGGGAAAAGGGGGCGGTTGGGCACCGGGACGGTCTCCCGAGGCTTCCAGAGCTCAGGGAGCGCTCGGGCTGGGCAGGATTGGGATCAGTGATCCCGGGACGGTCCCTCCTGGACGGGAAATCCCGGGACAGCACCATTTCCTTGAGAAAACATGGATAACCAGGAGCCGGGAAGCTGCTCTGGGATCCCCCCTCCAAACCAGCTCCAGGCACCACCAGCGGATCCTCTTCCCACCGTAGGGAACGGGGAGAGTTGGATACAACTTCCCCACGGTGGGAAGAGGAGGGACAGACACCGATCCCTGTGTGGGATCCGAGGGAATGGCTGGAACCAGGGCAGGTTTGGGATGGATTTTGGGAAAAGGGGGCGGTTGGGCACCGGGATGGTCTCCCGAGGCTTTCCAGAGCTCAGGGACGCGCTTTGGCGTGGTGGGATTAGGATCAATGATTCCCGGGACGGTCCCTCCGACTGGGAAATCCTGGGATGGTGCCATTCCCTTGGCAAAACATGGATAAACCAGGAGACGGGAAGCTGCTCTGGGATCCCCCCCAAACCACTCCCAGGCACCCACAGCGACTCCTCCCGCAATGTGGGAACGGGAGAGGTGGATACAACTTCCCCACGGTGGGAAGAGGAGGGACAGACACCGATCCCTGTGTGGGATCCGAGGGAATGGCTGGAACCAGGGCAGGTTTGGGATGGATTTTGGGAAAAGGGGGCGGTTGGGCACCGGGACGGTCTCCCGAGGCTTCCAGAGCTCAGGGAGCGCTCGGGCTGGGCAGGATTGGGATCAGTGATCCCGGGACGGTCCCTCCCATCCGGGAAATCCCGGGATGGGGCGGTGCCGGTTCCGTACCTGTCGATGACGTGGACGCCCATGATGAAGGGCTGCACCTCGGGGTTGGTGGGGTAGCAGAGCTTGCACTTGGTGTGGGCGCTCAGCACCGTCCCGTCGCTCAGCGTGAACCGGTACGAGGGGCTGAAGGCGGCGCCGCGGGTCATCACTGCGGGGGACACGCCCGGGACATCCCGAAAAATCAGCGGGATCCCGCCCCACGGAGACACTGACCGTCCCCCCAGGGATTTATTCCCACGGCCTGGTTTTGCCCTAAAACTCCTGGGAGGCAGTTTTCGACCTCTACACAGCATCTCCGTGGATGTCCAGGGCAATCCCCCGGAAAACACACCCAAAATCCCAAAATGTCACCTCTGGGATAATCAGGATCAGGGTCTGACCCCACAGCACCACAAACCTTCCCCAGGGTTTTATTCCCACAGCCTGGTTTTCCCCAAAAATCTCTGGGAGCCAATTTTCCATCCCTCCCCAACATCTCCCTGGATGTCCAGGGCAACACTCAGTCATCACTGGGGAGACACCCAAATTCCAAAATGTCACCTCTGGGATAATCAGGATCGGGATCCGACCCCACAGCACCACAAACCTTCCCCAGGGATTTATTCCCACAGCCTGGCTTTTCCCAAAAACCTCTGGGAGACAATTTTCCATCCCTCCCCAACATCTCCGTGGATATCCAGGGCAATCCCCAGAAAACACATCCAAAATCCCAAAATGTCACCTCTGGGATAATCAGGATTGGGATCCGACCCCACAGCACCACAAACCTTCCCCAGGGATTTATTCCCACAATCTGGCTTTTCCCAAAAATCTCTGGACATCAGTTGGGTGATGTTCTGACCCTCCCCAACATCTCCATGGATATCCAGGGCAATCCCGAGAAAACATACCCAAAATTCCAAAATGTCACCTCTGGGATAATCAGGATCAGGGTCTGACCCCACAGCACCACAAACCTTCCCCAGGGATTTATTCCTACAATCTGGCTTTTCCCAAAAAAACCCTGAGCACCCACTGGCTGATGTTCTGACCCTCCCCAACATCTCCATGGATATCCAGAGCAATCCCGAGAAAACACACCCAAAATCCCAAAATATCAGCTCTGGGATAATCAGGATCGGGATCCGACCCCACAGCACCACAAACCTTCCCCAGGGATTTATTCCCACAGCCTGGCTTTTCCCAAAAATCTCTGGGAGTCAATTTTCTACCCCTCCCCAACATCTCCGTGGATATCCAGGGCAATCCCCAGAAAACACACCCAAAATCCCAAAATGTCACCTCTGGGATAATCAGGATCAGGGTCTGACCCCACAGCACCACAAACCTTCCCCAGGGATTTATTCCCACAATCTGGCTTTTCCCAAAAATCTCTGGACATCAGTTGGGTGATGTTCTGACCCTCCCCAACATCTCCATGGATATCCAGGGTAATCCCGAGAAAACACACCCAAAATTCCAAAATATCACCTCTGGGATAATCAGGATCAGGATCCGACCCCACAGCACCACAAACCTTCCTCAGGGATTTATTCCTACAGCCTGGCTTTTCCCAAAAAAACCCTGAGTACCCACTGGCTGAAGTTCTGACCCTCCACAACATCTTTGTGGATGTCCAGGGCAATCCCCAGAAAACACACCCAAAATCCCAAAATATCACCTCTGGGATAATCAGGATCGGGATCCGACCCCACAGCACCACAAACCTTCCCCAGGGATTTATTCCCACAATCTGGCTTTTCCCAAAAATCTCTGGACATCAGTTGGGTGATGTTCTGACCCTCCCCAACATCTCCATGGATATCCAGGGCAATCCCGAGAAAACATACCCAAAATTCCAAAATGTCACCTCTGGGATAATCAGGATCAGGATCCGACCCCACAGCACCACAAACCTTCCCCAGGGATTTATTCCCACAGCCTGGCTTTTCCCAAAAATCTCTGGGATCCAGTTTTCTACCCCTCCCCAACATCTCCGTGGATATCCAGGGCAATCCCCAGAAAACACACCCAAAATCCCAAAATATCAGCTCTGGGATAATCAGGATCGGGATCCGACCCCACAGCACCACAAACCTTCCTCAGGGATTTATTCCCACAGCCTGGCTTTTCCCAAAAATCTCTGGGAGCCAATTTTCTACCCCTCCCCAACATCTCCGTGGATATCCAGAGCAATCCCCAGAAAACACACCCAAAATCCCAAAATCTCACCTCTGGGATAATCAGGATCAGGGTCTGATCCCACAGCACCACAAACCTTCCCCAGGGATTTATTCCCACAGCCTGACTTTTCCCAAAAATCTCTGGGAGCCAATTGCCTGATGTTCTAAACCTCCCCAACATCTCCATGGATGTCCAGAGCAATCCCCAGAAAACACACCCAAATCCCAAAATGTCACCTCTGGGATAATCAGGATCAGGATCCGACCCCACAGCACCACAAACCTTCCCCAGGGATTTATTCCCACAGCCTGGCTTTTCCCAAAAATCTCTGGAGCCAATTTTCTACCCCTCCCAAACATCTCCATGGATATCCAGGGCAATCCCCAGAAAACACACCCAAAATCCCAAAATCTCACCTCTGGGATAATCAGGATCAGGATCTGACCCCACAGCACCACAAACCTTCCCCAGGGATTTATTCCCACAATCTGTTTTTTCCCAAAAATCTCTGGACATCAGTTGGGTGATGTTCTGACCCTCCCCAACATCTCCATGGATATCAAGGGCAATCCCGAGAAAACACACCCAAAATTCCAAAATATCAACTCTGGGATAATCAGGATCAGGATCCGACCCCACAGCACCACAAACCTTCCCCAGGGATTTATTCCCACAGCCTGGCTTTTCCCAAAAAAACCCTGAGCACCCACTGGCTGATGTTCTGACCCTCCACATCTCCAGAGCAATCCAAGGAATTTTGCCCCCCCGGAGATGAAGTTTTCCTGCTCTTCCCCCTCCCTCGGAATTGCTGAGGGGTTGCGACATGAAATCATGGAATTGCTGAAGTTGGAAAAGACCTCTGAGATCCTGGGAGTCCAACGACATCCCAGGAAAGGCAAAATATCCCAGAGACGATTCCCGAGCCTCTCCAGGCTCAATCCCAGAGATTTCAGGGAATTCACCTGAAGGGACAAGTGAGATTTTGGTTTTTTAAGGAGAACACCCCGTTTTTAAGGAAAAAAAACAACCCTGTTTGGAAGTGAAGCTGCTTGGAAAAGGCTCCACTTCCCTCCGTGGATGGATCCGAGGGATGAGGGATCAGTGATGCTCCAGTGGGGAATAAATCCCCGTGCTCCGCTCCTTCCACGCCCCCCAGCTCCCCCTCAAATCCCTGGAAAGCTGATCCCGATCCTCCAACACCCCCTGGATGCGTTATCCCACCCGGAAAAACCCACCTGGACAACCTCAATCCTGGACATACCAAAAATTCCAGCTGCTCCTCCCAACCCTGAACCCATCCCAGCTCGGAGCAGCCCATTCCCAGCTCCATCTGAAATCCCTGGAAAGCTGATCCTGATCCTCCAACACCCCCTGAGTGTGTTATCCCACCCGGAAAAACCCACCTGGACAACCTCGATCCCGGAGATACCAAAAAATTCTGGTTGCTCCTCCCACTCCCTCCAATCCTAAACCCATCCTAACCTGGGGCTGGGATCATTCCCAGCTCCATCTCAACTCCCTGGAAAGCTGATCCTGATCCTCCAACACCCCCTGGATGCGTTATCCCACCCGGAAAAACTCGCCTGGACAACCTGAATCCCGGAGATACCAAAAAATTCCGGTTGCTCCTCCCACTCCCTCCAATCCTAAACCCATCCCAGCTCAGGGCTGGGATCATTCCCAGCTCCATCTCAACTCCCTGGAAAGCTGATCCTGATCCTCCAACACCCCCTAGGTGTGTTATCCCACATGGAAAACCCGCCTGGACAACCTCAATCCCGGAGATACCAAAAAATTCCAGCTGCTCCTCCGGCTCTGTCCAACCCCAAACCCCTCCCAGCTCGGAGCTGCCCATTCCCGGCGGGAAGCGGATCCCGGTACCTTCTTGGAAGAGCTGCTTGGCGTAGGACGGCTCCCGGCCCTGGGGCTGGAAGAAGGCGTAGATGCACTTCCGGACCAGATCCTCCCATCCCGTCCTGCCGGCGGCGCGCAGGGAGCTGGTGTCGATGGAGATGATTTTCCCTGGGAAAGAGGGAGAAGCCACCGGCACGCTCAGGTCCGGGAATGTGGGAAGTTCTGAGCAGTTGGGGACGGCCCGACGAGGGCGAGGTTGGAGCGGGATGGGATAGCGGGAGGTGTCCCTGAACATGGAATGGGATGAGCCTTAGGGCCCCTTCCCACCCAAACCAGTCTGGGATTGTGGGATAAAGGACACTCAGAAGCCACCCAGAGGGATTTTTCTGGAATGTGGGGATGGAAAAGGCGGGAAAGGGGAAGGGAGACCCTGCCCTGAGTGCCGAGATTCCCAGGGAACCCCCTTGTTCCCGGAACTCCTTCCCAGGGAGGAGCTGGGCTGGGGATGGATCCAATGGCAGGCTCTGGCTCCAGGCTGGGAGAGCTGGGAATGGCCAGGCTGGAGAAGGGAAGGATCCCGGGGAATGCCAGGCCCCAGGGAATGG